TATTCAAATCAGAAATATGTTTTTAGTATTAACATATCTTCCATCATTCCAATAATATCAATTACTATAAATTGTAGTAGATTGCAAAAGTGGCAACAAACTTTTCCCATCCTTATATGCACAACTTTTTTCTTTGTTTTTTTGGCAGGAAACTAACACAACTTGGCACTTTTTATTATATAGGACAATAGTTACAGACCACACAGACTCAGGAAGACTCACTGCTTGGGCCCAACAAGAGACAAGTGCCCCCTCCCTCAATGCACAGTCCTTTGGGCTGTGAGGGAGCAGGCCTTTTCTTAACACAACTGTGACGGACGGAGGTCCATGACAGTACTCGGTATGAGGAAAGCCACATCCGGGCCTAACTGAGGGTTTTGTGGGAGGGGATGAGGAGACCAGCTTCCTTTCAATTACTTGGGGGTAACCCTGAAGACGCGGATGTGGATGGCTGAGTTGTTACAGATTCGGGTCAACGGCTCCCGTGTATCAGTCTCTGGTTCCAGCTCATCAAGCTCCACAGTGGAGGTATTGGCAGCCACCTGCAAGGACCCGAAGCTGCCCGCCTGCAGCTGCAGGGCAATGTTGATGGCGCGGTTGATGGCCAGGCCCAAGCCATGAATGTAGATCTCAGTGCATGCGTTCTGACCCCGCGCCTTGTCTAGCAGCTTCTGATAGCGGGCCTGTTGGTCCTTAAAGTCAGTCTTCATGTTGACACAAATGTTATTGGGCCTCCGGGGCAGGCGGTGGGGAAGCCGTTTCCTAAGGCCCTGCGAGGCTTTCGGTTTTCTGCCATGCTGTGTACCCTTTTCCGTGTGTTTAGAAGGATTACACTGCGTTGCGTAAAGGCTGTTTTAGAGAGCGAGGAAGTAAGAGTATACATTCTGGAATGACTTTCGAAGAAAATGGTGAAAGCACACATCGAAATCTTGGGTCCTGAAAAGTTCAGCAAGTCGCAAAAATCACTCTTGAAAAATCCTTTTTTAAACAAAAGGGGTTTCAGTCTGTGTCTCATATTTGCATAGTTTCTCTCTTTCTAAATACTTTCACATTCGTTTATTTTAATTTTTACATCACTCCCTGAAAGGGGTTAAAAAGCACTAGAAGGGTAGCATTAACACCCTTCCAAAAAGAAACCGAGGTTCCTAAGAGTTAACTCATTTGCCCGAGGTCTAGTCACTGGTAGGAGCCAAATATAAACTACAGGTCTCTCTAATCACTGCCGCCTTAGACTGTGTCTAAACCATTAGGTGGCCACTTATTTCATATGTCCCAGGAGGTCTGATGAATGGTTCTGAATTTTGTCTCCTTCAATCCAGGCGGGCTTCCTAGAGGAAGGTGGCTGACTAGAAGAGGCTGG